ATCCCTGCTTATAGAAGTGTCGTAGTTCGCGCTTTAAGTTGTCAATGAAATGTAACTTTCTCAGCAAGCTGTTTGTTTCAAAAATAATCATGATAAAGCAGATATGGAAATTTTTCTCAATTTGCCCAGCTGTGGCAAAATACGTCGTAGGTTTACGGACATCTCGTAACAAAAAACACTTTCACCTGTGAAAAACCGTCGTAGCCTGGTTGGAAGGATTTACTTCTTTCTTATTCTATTGGTTAAAAAGAGTTTTCAAACGACTTTTGGTTAGCGGAGTTCTCAGTAAAACTCCTTTCCACCCATTTCTTGTAACGGTTGATCAATATTAAGTAATTCTTCGATGTTTTTCAGAGAAAATACAGAAAGAAACACACGTCCAACCAAATCAATGGAGAATGACCACGGCTTAAACACATTAAAAGGCACATATTAGGCAACTGGCTTCCCCTTCTTTCAGTGGACGCCATCTAATTTCCATTTAACTTTGCACGTGGAAGCAAGCACTTTCCAAAATTACTTTATAATCACGCAAATTATGTAATTGAATAGATGAATTTGTATTTGCTAGGGCTTAATTAGCGTAAACACGCACGCTAGTTACAGTTCGGAACAACGTGTCAAAATTTTACCTTATATTGCTTTACGAAATTAATCCATTTCTTGCAAACCAAAGAACGTAGACGTAGCTAGCTCAAAAAAGTTTTGAAAACGTTTCCGTAACGTTTCATTACAGTTCAGTACTTCCTACAAGTATGAAAAAAGTTCAACAAATCGAGGACAGGACGTTATAAGAGGTCCAAAGCAGAAAGACGAGTAAAACTACATCGCGATAATTTTATGGAAAGAAAGAGAAGCGCATACTTTCACGGTTTCTATGGTACAATATAAGTTTATTGTGGTAACTGTGGTAACTATGGCCCCGTCCACATGTATCCGGATATTTTTGAATCCGCGACTTTTTCTTTCTTCGGATGCGCGTGGACAAGCGAATTCGATTTGATTACGCTACGCGTAGACGGGGAAATTTTTGAATCCGGAGAGATAAGGTTGCGGGATTAAAAAATATCCAGATACGCGTGGATGTGTCCTACTGGCCTAAGTTATCTCTTCGGCGTATTAATATTGATGATGATGATGATGATGATGATGATGATGATGATGATAATAATGATAATGATAATAATAATAACAATAATAGCATTTATTTAAACACGATAAAAATTACAGTAGAGCTGATGTGTTCGTGTATATAAAATAAAAATTCCTAGCTAATTAACTAATTACAATTTAATATGGAACTATATACAAAAAATGATAATAGACATATATGGTCATTAGAATTCCTTTTTGAAACAGTTTGCGTCGGAAATAACTCTAGTCTCGCTGTTTAAAGAGTTCCATAGAACGACTGCCTTATGACAAATTGACTTCCGCACGAAGTCGGTGTTGGGCTTAGCCACAGAGACGGTCATCCTCCTTGAATTATATTTGTGTATGTTTTTGATAAATAGGTTGGTAATTGGAGCAGGAGAGAGGCTAAAAAAACTTTTATGAGCAAATAGTAACAGCTTGCGCTCATACAATGATTTTAGAGTTCTACATTAAGTACGAACGAGCACCTCTTCACCGGGCGTGTACAAGAGAATATGGTCCAGGATCATAATAGATCCTTTGCACGATCTTGTCACATGGTACGGAATTAATTATGCTGGGACACAAGTTACGCAGTGGGACTTCCAAAACAAAGGAACTCGTACCAGTCCAGCCCGACTTCTCTTTGTTTCGGAAGTCCCACTGCGCAACTTGCGTCCCAGCGTAATTAATTCCGTACAATGTGACCGGATCCTGCAAAGGGCCTATCTCTTGGCATATATTCGGTCTATGCTATGCTATTATCTTTGCGGCGCGTATCACGGTATTTTTTCGAGCTCTTCAAAAAGCTCATCTTTAATCAGAATGGTTCTTTTAACAGTAAAAATTTGAAATTTTCTTAACTAACTTAGTTGTTTAAGAGATCTTTTGGAATCACATTGTGCGTCGCACCACATGGGAATAGTGACTTCTCACTATTTGACACACATGCATACGAAGAAAACGTTAATATTAATTAAGAATGGCATGCAAATCAAGATAATGAATGAAAACCGTTTCCCAATAACATAGCTTTGGTAGGGCGCAGAGGATCATAATTTCACGGATATTGGGCTTATTGCACGTTGGTTGTATAATATATTGCGCGTTTTTTGTAATAGGTCGCACCTCCAAGAGAGGCACGTCGTTATTTTCTGGGATCAAGAAAGTCCACAATATGTTCAAATTATTACCATTCATCTGAAAGTAAAACGATAGCATACTTACACATTGTCCTGGACTGCGTTTTGGGCCAACAAATAGTTGGTGGGGGACAGAAGAAATTACCGTGAATTGTCTGATACGAGCAGTGTTCAGTACGATGCTGTTTCACGCAATTTCCCTGCGAAATGCCTGGACTCCATTCGTTTCTCCATTCGCAGCCAGTACATACTTTGGTTACGCATGGCCTGTTTGGCATGTACGCTTGACCAAAGCCACTAGCAATAACTAGGAAGCTTAACAGTTGTAGTGGAAGCATCGCGTTCAGAGAAAAGCTAACCCTGTTTTCTGTTAAGGATTTATGTAGCTCGAGGTCAAGTGCTCTCACTGCGAATTGTCCAGAAGACTCGCCCGCGCGCATGCTTTGTTGTATATTGTACAGTTTGACGCTTCACTGGTTTTGATAATGACGGTAAAGATATGGACATTTGAGAGAAATTTATGCAGCTGTCACAAGAGGTGTTTTAGCGTCTCACTATAATAAGAGCTTCTCTCTTTTATCTAGCTAGTTGCAGTTTATTTTACCGCAAACATAACAAGGGTTAAAAAGAAAAAAGTGACAAATTACTGGTTATAGACAAGCTTTCTTTTCCATTGACGACTAACCAGAAGGGCCGAAGGTTATGGGCTCAGCAACAACTTTTCTACAACACGCATTGCGCAAAGGAAAAGATACTTTGTTTGATCATCAACAGCTCTTTCAGCATTAGTCAAAATGTTTTGAATTGAACTAATTAAGCAGCTCATTAGGTGTAAATAAATTACTCGGCCAGTTAAGCCTCTAGTGAGTTACTCTGAGTAACTCTTACCGATCTTGGTATTTGCACACTTTATATATCTACTTATTATATGTGTTTGACGTAATATATCAAACACGAAAGACCGTGTTTGACCACATTTCCAAACACCATGACGAGAATTGAAAATACGACGCGCAGCGGGGTATTTTTGACGAACTTCGAGGTGTTTGGAAATGTGGTCAAACACTGTCTTGAGTGTTTCATATATCTTCTCAATCGAAACTAAAACTAAGGACAAAACGGAGAAATAAAATCGTAAAAATTTATACTAATTCAGATCAGATATCCAAACACCGTCACGGTCATGATTTCCTTTGTTTAAATTTGATGAATTATAAGAGTTTGAGAAAACGGTAATAAAGCTTAATTTCTCCTACAGATAAATGGAAAAAGTAGGAAAACTGAGCCGGATTCCAAGAGGGTAATACCTTTCTCTGGCAGTGTAACTTGAAAACGAAATGAAAAGTAAAGCCTCTTTGCTTACGCGCGGTTTGTGTTAAAAGCTAGACGCTTGTAAAGCCGTGTATATGAAATATGAAACAATTAGAATTAAGGCAAGAATCTTAACTGGCAAGAGGTGGTATGGGGAATTGGAACCCTGAACTTCTGCCAGTTACAATTTTATTAGTATGAGGGAAAAACAAAAGGGCGGCTGTATGATTATTGACTGAGACGTTTGATTTGAGATCTGCTGGGATTATGTTGTGCGTTAAGCAATGCACATAAATTCTCCTCATTAAATTTCACGTTTTGACCATAAATATTTATACCTGTGTTCACAATGTCTTAAGCACAAGGTGTTTCCAATACTTTCAAGCATTTATAATTTAATAGATCAACACTACCATTGCTTGTCAGGTGATACTACTAACCGTAGTGATATCAAACGAATATCCAGTCATTGCTGCTCATCTTCATGAAATATCTCTTATAATAACATGTTACAGAGTAAACAGGTTGACCCGTTGGAACACTACAACTTCACGTACTTATAACTCGAAAACGAGTTCGCAGACGCCTCTTTTATAGTAAAATTGGCATCAGACCTTTACGATACAAAATTTTAATTTGCAAGATTTACAAATACGGTTGGCTGATATTTTTCATATGGAATACTAGTGAGGCCAGGTTTCACTCGAAATGTATTGTAAATGACCTTAATTTCGTATGAAATGTTCACCTCTATTCCATAGGGAAGCTTATTAAATTGCTCAAAACTCAATCAAAATTAACGTGATCTATAGCAGGAAAGGCTGTAATATTTTGACACAAAGATTTTAATGGCAAAACGTTTACCACAGGTTGTTCCCAGACATTGAAAAACACAAAACCAATTTTAGAGGCCAGTTTATATTGATTTTTGTTGCCATGATAACGGCACATACGTCGGCTAAATTATCGAAAAACCGAAGCTTCTGTTATTTACTTGCGTGTTGCCATTTTTGGCGACCAAAGTATCGCGATTTTCAGAAAAAAAGCCGAATAAAACGCAAGCATCAAAAAGTGTGTTCAGCCACTTAATGTGTATGTAAATGTCACAAGAGAGTGAAGGAGCTTACGAGCAGCAGTTTGCACATCATTTAGTGAAACATAACAATGGGGTACCATTTGTCGTGTGGAGGCGCGGTGGCCTCATGGTTAGTGCGCTCGTCTCCAGATTGAGCGGACCGGGTTCGAGCCCTGGCCTGATGGCTAGGGACATCGTGTTGTATTCTTGGGCTAGACACTTTACTCTCGCAGTGCCTCACTCCACCCAGGTGTGTAAATGGGTACCGACGAATTTAATGCTGGGGGTAACCCAGCGATGGACTAGCATCCCATCCAGAGAGGAGTAGAAATACTCCTAGTCGCTTCATACTACAGAAACCGGAATAAGCTCCCGCCCGATGAGCCACTTGGCTCGTATGCAGACTTTACTTTACTCTTTTTACCATTTGCCCTACAACAATGCGGCATTACTGATTTATCTTTTTATAGGATAACAACCAAGAGAAGAAACGTCAAGCAGGTTAATCCCCATTCAAGTCCTTAGGCCCCAGTAATCCGGAGGGGCCTCTTAATTTTATTTTTAGACATGGTACCCAGTCCTTCAGACGGATTTGAGCGGAAGCAAGCCATCGACATTGCTATGTCGTCTTGACACCTTTCCCTTGAAAAACCACGTCGGGAAATTGTGATAACTTGTCTGGTTTGTTTTTTTTACGAGCAGGTAAATTTTGATAGTTGATAAAACACGCACCTAAATATTGAAAGTTTTTATTTTTCATTTCTCATCTGCCTTGGAGATATCATCGACAGTTTTGCATTTTCTGCCATCACTTCGTCCTTTCCTTTCGGTGACTGCTTTAATGCACTACTATATAGCGAGCTAATTGCTTTTACTCATTGTGACGTAGCGCGAAACATTGCAGTGTAGTGTATTGTATTGTAGTGTATTGCAGTGCAGTGTAGTGAGTGCCCTGTAATGCAGTGCTGTGGGCAGTGCTGTGTAGTGCAGTGTAGTAGAGTAGAGTGAGGTGTTGTACAGTGCTATGCAGTGCAGTGCAGTGCAATGCAGTGCAGTATAATCGGGCAAGGAATTGATCCACGAAAAGAAAAATGGGAATCACCGAGCATCCGAGAGAGTAAATTGCAGGCGAAGTTGAAGCTCCCGGTGCCAAGCTCTATACTTGCTTCAATATTTCTTCCGTTGTGCACGCGCTTGATATATGACGTGGCGCGACATTGCGACCTAATTAAATTTCGTGCGCAGAAGGGATGCGCAGTATTACTGGGCGCGAACGTCCCCAAGTATTGTGTTGTTGCTCCAAGTGCTGTCCTCAACAACCAATCAACGTATGTTTTCGTGTCATGTAATTTTGCTTGAATTGACGTCCTATAGCCGCCCATAAGCTTAAGTCTATGTAAATTTCCACTGAAGCGATTGACAGGCGCTTAAGAGCAACAGGTTGCAAATCAGTCAAACATAACAGCGGGGTACCTTTTGTCCTACGACAATCCGGCATTACTAATTTATCCGATTTGGCGGGATATGAACCGAGTTCCGTAAACGTAGGAAACTGAATACAAAAGCAAAAGTTTGAAGTAATTAGCACCGTGTCGGACCCCAAAAATTCCAGTCCGGAGCTTCCATGATTCTTCTTCTCTGTGTGACGTTGCTCAAGTGTTTTCTGGCGACCACTGCCGAGACTGGTAACCAGTTAGGTAAGACAATAATATTGTCGACACTTCGCGGATTGTTCTTTTCTGATCATGTCCTCGAGGAGGCATCGTGTTGTCATACGGCATTTTAGAGCCTAAGTGAAACACAAGGGCTTCTTGAAGTTCAGAGCGTCGCGAGTTCCACTTGACATGTTTCAGATGATTTACTAATTAATTCTTTACGCTTTTTCTTTCTCTCTTAATGTTTTTCTTTTTCAAATATTTAGTTACCTGCCCGCTTGAAAAACGAATGCATGTGAAGGGAAACTAGTTTTTGATAGAAAATGGCATTTTAACCTACAAGAGGTTAAATAGCAGAGTAAATCCATCATTGTACTTACACATGAGCATAAAAAGACCCAAACAAAGTCAAGATAGCCCGAGGCACAAAATCTTTAAAAGCATGAATAAACATAACTAACAGGTAAACTCTGCAAGATCATGTCAAATCTTCTTTTGTCTAGAATTCATTACAAGCTATTTCAAAAAATTTTAAGTTACCAAATAAAATACAAATATATTTTAAAGAAATGTGTAAGATACGATTTGCGATCAAACCGCGAATACTAAGCTGGGCCGGATTGTTTGAAAGCCGGTTAACGCTAAACAGGGTTAAAAGTTAACCGAAGTATTAATTTTTCTTATATAAAAAAGGTTTTTTACTGCTTACGTTTTGTGTAGTTTGAGCTTAGTCAAGCTCAAAACTGAAGGATAAACAGTATAAACTGAAAACCTCACCGAAAAGTTACAAAACTAAAATCCAAATTCTAGCTAATCCTGGGTTAGCTTAATCGGGCTTTGAACAACCCAGCCCTCTGTAGTTTTGGTTAAAACTCTCTCTTAGCGTATAGTTCCGTAACGGACAAACGGTTGATGTAACCTGCATCCCACCAAGGGGGAGTGACTAGGGGTCAGATAGCAGCTCTCGCAAGGTCTCACATAAATGGCTCGATAACTTTTGAGAGAACAACAGGGCAAGCAACAGAAACAATGCCACTATTCTCATAACAGTAACAGCTGCTACACTATGACGACAAATAGAATTTCAAGCTTACGAGAGCTGTTTCATTGGTGTCACGTGGCCAGAAAATAGACATTTTACTTTTCTCCCTGCTTAAAAGTTACTTTTGTTCAAGGTTACGACAACCTAGGATGTTGGCATCTCCCGGAAAATGACACAGCAGCAGTTGCGAGCTTAGAGGGGCATCACAACGGGCTGGAAGGATTCTACTGGGACAGGTAACGTAGTGATCTAATAACGAGTATACGCAACAAATTATGTTGAAGGAAGCTAGTACCTTTGTCAGATGTAAAACTTGCTTTCCCCAAAGATATTCGAGGACATTTTTCCACGATAATTCAAAGATACTTAGCGATATTCCAAAAACAAAACGAATTTTCTGAAAACTCCCCAAGTTTTTCCGAAGATTTCGGAGGATGCTGTGATGAGAAGACTTTGTGATCGCTTCCGATGACGCGAATTTGGATGATCTTCAATAAAACATATCAGCCAAGTTTATTTAATACTTATTGATTGATCGACTGATTGATTGGTTGATTGATTGATTGATTGATTGATTTATATCAATATTTAACTTAAGGTTCCCAACTGGAGGCTTAACAAATTTATGTTCTACTGTTCCCAGTAAAATGTAATTGCGCGAATCAAGTAGCACACCCCTCACTCAAAGAGCTTGTGCTACCAGACTTATTTCCACTGAGAATCGTATATGGGTGACAATTTACTCCCTAATTTTAGCGAGAAATTTCGGCGTTAATTAATTTATGATATTACATGTGAAATTACAAAATTGCCATGGCAACGTTTGGCGTGTAATTTGTCGATATAATAAACAAGTCAAAAGCCCACGGTGGGAAGCGTAATTTGCCTAGAGGCCCGGGAAATTATTATGAATTTTGACAAAACGCGAGTGAGATTTTTTCCTAATTTCAATCGTCACCATTTGATTACCCCTACTTATTTTATATCAATTTATTTCCAGAGTAAACTCAGTCTTAAAGTGCGCAACAGTCGCGAATGACAAAGGGTTTAAGTATTTTGCGGTTCGTAATGGCGGCGAGTGCTTGGCAGATGACAAGCTTCAAGTGAGATACAAGGACCACGGGGAATCACAAGAATGCTTTGAAGGAGAAGGAGGCCATGAAGCCATCAACGTTTATAACATAACGGGTAAATACAGAAGCAAAATCACTAATTTAACGTTGCTGTAATAAATTATAATATTTCGAGAGGTAGCCACAGCAGCCCTGGTTTTCATGCCGGTCCTCTATCCTGATCGAATTGAAATTTGGAGGTGTTAGTTGTTCAGGAGGGAGGAGACCCAGAGTACCCGGAGAGAAACCCTCGCCGCTAGGCGAGAACCAACAACAAACTCAACACACATATGACACCGGGCCGGAATCGCACCCGGGCCACATTGGTGGGAGGCGAGCGCTTTCACAACAGCGCCATCCTTGCTACCCAGCGGCTTGTGCTGATATTGTCGCTAATAACATGAGACCTCAAAAATACTACGATTCTATTAGAGTTTGGTTGAGAGATCGATTTCTTACTGTTTTTATAAGGTACCATTCCTTCCTTGGAAGACTTTGAAGGGGACATCCTACTCACTAAAGTGCAGAAAGCCATGACTACACCTTTCCATCTTGATGTAGCAGCCGCTGGAGTCTGGGCCCAAGCGGATTTTTTATGGCCTGAAAGAATTGTGCCGTATTACATTCCACCTGATCTTGGTAAGCTTAGCAATACCTTGAACGTCTTCTTTTTTTATCACGTCTGTAACGCATGCTGTATTGCATTATCGAGTACCCTTTGGCAAACAGTGATCATGTTGTCATGAGAAGACCATGAATGTTTTTTCGTGATTGCGTAATTTAGACATTAAGATCTCGTAATTTATTGGGACAGTAAAGGCTTTAATATTCTCTCCTGTTTCCTTTCACACAAATGTAATATAAAGGTTATGTTTTGTTATTGAGATAACGGTAATGATAATCTTTCGTTTCTTCCGGATTTATTAGCACACTCACTTGCCTCATCCGGCGATGAAACTTTATTTTCGAAACATCAGGATTCGACTAAGAGCCATAATGAAATACATGAACAGTTAATCAACTGCTGAACTCAAATAGGCAGCAGAACACTTGCACCAACTGCGGCCAAATAACAGGGATAAATACAGTGGAATCTCGATTTCTCGAACCCTCATTTTTTCGAACCTCCCGATAACTCGAACCAAAAGTCGTTCCCTCTCCTCAGTTGAACACTGTAATTTTACCCCCGATTTCTCGAACTCTCCGAATTTTTGAACCAATTTTTGTTTCCCCTGGAGGTTCGAAAAATCGGAATTGCACTGTATTATTATATCACTTAGTCTTCGTTTAAAACTTTTTTTATTTTTTCTCGATCAGTCGGGCACCATTTAGCTGATAGGTTTCATCATGGCATGCGTCACTGGTTTGAGCAGACCTGTATCAAGTTTGTCCCCAAGAAAACGGGCCACAGAGACTGGGTCGAGTTATACCGGGAAAAGAACCCGTTAAGTCGCAGGTAACAGAAACAGTATGAAACCTTGATAAGAAAAATAACTTTTTGGAATTGCTACGCGGCTCGTCGAGTACTTTACTTGTTGACTGAGTCGAGATCATTTTAAGTAAGAGCAACAAGAAAATTTACAAGTAAACCAAAGCGGTCTTTACTATAATGCATACTCCTGTAATTGCGTCTTAAATCAGCACACAGGTACTCCACAAGAATTGGCTCAAGAGTATTTTCAACTGCGTATAAAAATGTCTTATAAAGAACTAAATAGAACTGGCTTTCAGTGGTGAAATCATTGACACCGTTGTTAACCGTTTCATTTTCTGTGGTCTGTCAACTTTTTAAGAGTGCCTGCCTGTAAAAATCAGGCAAATTCTTAATTTCGCGGCAAGGGTCGAAAATTCGATTTCGCTCATATTCTTATGGTAGATAGGCTAGGGCATGACAAAAAGTACTGGATAGTTTTTTTGGCAAAATATCCTTTTATTTCAAAGAAATATGCAAATTACCAAATTCCGTTA